CACACACACACACACACACACACACACACACACACACACACACACCTTTCAAACCTGCGTGCCCATCAGACCACGCCTCATAAAATAAAGTGAAACAGAATTTAAATAACACAAAGTCTGCTTTCAGTGATCATCACAGCAGCGTTGTTATTCTTTTTCAAATCATAATTATGTTGTGATTTTTTTCTATTGTTCAAGTAGGTCTTACCCTAAAATGTGTGAAACACGTAAACACAACCTCCTCTCATGATGTTCAATGGGCCAATCTCAGAATGCCCCCTCCTATGGAGGAAACCTACGTAGAAGTCCTACTTTAGTACCTGAGTATTTTGTCCAATGAATTCCAGGTAAAATAAAAAAGATAATAATCATCTCAACGAATGAGATGAGACGTATCGGCTCTTCTAAAGTCAATGTAAAGAGACGAAAACTTTATTTTTGGCTTTTGTACATAAAACTGAAACATCACGTCACTTTAAACAGAATAATTTTTATTATTCTGCTCTTTTCATGTAACAATGTATGCTCTGATTTCTGTRCATTATGTAAAATGCAAGCATGCAGAGTTATTTGTTAATTGAATGCATAATAAAAAAAACACTGCAATGACTCAGAAACTCCTCATTTATAGTGTTTAATTGTAAAAAGGGAACACAGAAAATAGATGGTTTGTGTTCTGATTTATGAATAGATCTGTGGTGGAGACATTCATAAAAAGCAGACAGGAATAGTATCTAAAAGTGCATGAATAACACTTTGACATGACTTTTTATTGCATACATGTCAGTGTTGGCTAGTGGTCAATTTGAAGGCTTTCACAGATGAAAACTCTTAAAGCTCACCCGCTTATAATTTATTCACCCTCCCAACTATTTGGGGCTGCATCCTAAAAGCTTCTCGGAATACAAACACAAATCCAAGAGCCGCTGCCTTGGCTTCATCAATCTCAACAACATTCAGCCTCCCGTGAAGACGGGATCAGACCAGCAAAAATGTAAACTCTGTATCTGGACAAAACTGAGCCAGTGGCAAAGTCTTACATGCTGGCCACTCCCTCTTTTCTTCTGGTTTTCCCTCTCCTCTGCCGCTGCTCCATGCCTCAATCAGTCCTGGTAGGTTTTGACCAGCAGCCACATGAGCAGCACCGTGATTAAGACGATCATGAAGTTGAGGAAAAGCTCCTGCGCCGAGCGGTCCATGGCGGAGGTGCAGGCGAGAAGGTGGGGCCTAGAAAGGAAGCTTAGGTGGAGACAAAGCAGTATTTTATATAGAGTAGACAAAAACCATAGTTATACGCATGARAAAGAAGTGGGTTTGTGGCATGTTTTGAGTTGTTTTGGGCGAAAAACATATTCACTGCCAACGACTAAACTCTTACCTTGCTTATTTGTGCAGCACCCTCACTACGACCAGCGGAACCTTCTTTTTGTTCTTCTCTGCTGAAGTCTCGTCCAGCAGCTCACTCAGTGGAGGTGAGGCTTCTCTGTAGCATCTGCTGCTCGCTTGTGGTCCAGTTTTCTGCTTCCAGCAGAGGCAGGTCCTGCTGCTAATGTAGCTCCCTCCCCATCAATGGACCGCCCATGGCTTACATACACACCAACTGATGTCACACTCCAACTAAACAACCAATGGAGTCTGTTTTTTTCCACAGGATCGTCCGCTGGAGTATTTTCCATCTATAATCGTACCAAGTCTCTGTTTCTCTCTCTCTCTCTCTCAAACACACACACACGCGCGGGTTATTTTTACAACCTTGTTGTAGATACTTGGAGGATTAAAGTTGCTCCAAACACAATACTTGTATCAACTGATGGATGTAGGAAACTGTAACTGTATCGCTCAGAATCCAGGGAGGAGCCATGCGTTGAGGAGAGGAGAATAACAGATCAGCTCCAAAATAAAACACGCACGGCAGGTTGGTTTTAGAAACAGCTGAAACCAAAGTCTCAGCTGTCCATCATGTCCACTCTAAGCTCAAACACAAGGGGAATTTGCTGTGTTGCTTGTTGGGGAAGATCAGACACTTTTAAGTCTTTTTAAGAACCGGCAATATCGTGGAAAAAGTGTAAATATTAAAACTGATACCTTTTTAAAATACAATGCAGTACCTTTCAACACAATATGATACAATGCACTACAATGGATTATGATGCAACACAAGGACACAATAGAATACTCAGTACAGTATGATAATATACAATATAATACAGCATGTTGTGATACAGTTTATGTGGTAATATTTTTGTTCCTTGGTAATTTGTTTCAGACTTTCATTTTTGCCATTTTAATTATGTTTTTTTGTTTGAATACAGTCCAGCTGCTCTTGTGTTTTTTTTTTAATAATATTGTGTGGGCTGGGTCAGGGACTACAGGTGGAAACTAGCACCCAGAGCCATAACCTGATACAGTGCATCTTTCCTTTTATGGCTAATGCATATACTGTCCCTGTTTTTAAAAATAAAAATAAAAATTTGAAAGTAAGAATGTTAAGGATGATTAAATTTGGGCCAAGGAACAAAAAAACAACAACTTATTTTTATTATAAAACCAAAAAAACTCAGTTTATTTAGAAATAATAATAAAAATCTTAAAGTGAGGAGTATTATAAGGGTCAATAAAGCTCTTCTGATGAGTGAAAAGGGCTGATGAGTAGGTGGAGACCCTGGGCTGATTACAGACTGGACACAGGTGAGACTGGGCGTGGCCGGCCCGACTGAGGAGAATGAGTGATGATGGCACAAAGGAACACAGAAAACACAAGTAAATGAAACTAAACTGGATAACCACAAAACCATTATATAAAATCAAATCAAATTTTAAAAATATATAAAAATGCAAAAAGCCATAAACAAAAACAACACAAACACAAGACCTGACAAGGTTACATTTTTAATGTTAGCTGGTGAAAAAAAAAACTCATTCTTCAAAACCAAACTGAAAAATTGCCCYGTTTTCACAAATGATTATTTTTAATTAACTTGTATAACTTGATCTTTTAAACATTTCTGTTCTTATAAATTACATGATTTTGTTCAAATTTTCGGAACCCAACTTCAAAGCCACAAAGTGCTATCACATACTGGCAAATGTGCCTTGAAGTAATAAAATAAAGTTGTTTTCTTCTTCTGCTCTGTGCGCAGGGTTAATTGTTGCTATTTTTCCCCCTCCACACTCTTATCCTGGCTCAAAGAAAAGGGGGTTTGAACTGTCCACAACAGCATACCTCTCAGCTCATCTCGCACTTGACAGCTGCTAAGAACTGAGTTATCTCCACACTAGTGTTAAGCCCCCTCAACATRCACACCTTCTCCTGCGCGCAGAGAGGGTCAAAGCAGGACAATAAAAAAAGAAAGAAAAGAAAAAAGCGCAATCATGGCTCCCTTGAACTTTTCCATCAAAGAATTCCAAGGTCATTCCCAGGGGATTCGACAGATCAGAGCGGCTGCAATTTAATCCCTCTGCGAGCTGGGCTAGATTCAGGGCAACCGCTCAGGGATTTCCCCCATTGTCATGGGTATCTGGTGCTAAGGTAACTGAAAAATTCAGGGCAGGGTGAGGAAGCCTCTGATTTTAGGGTGGGACACGTCCCACTCTGGCAGCTGGGAGTAGACAGACGTGCGCTGGCAGGGTTACGGTCTAATTCAGCAGAGAGAGAGAGATATGGGGTGTCAACAAGGCCTCAGAGACACCATTCCAGTCACTGCAGGATGCTACGTGTGTTAGTGTGTGTGTGTGTGTGTGTGAGAGAGAGAGAGAGAGAGAGAGAGAGAGAGAGAGAGAGAGAGAGAGAGAGATATGGGGGGTGTGTGCAGGTAGATTTGTTGCGCTATTTCAATGGCTGCCATTTAGTCTCGTCAGCCATCACGTCACTTTCTCAGTGTGGCTCCGGACCACAAGCTGAAAAAACACAGATATAATGAATCACCTGACTCTGTTCTACCATTGTTTACCTGCTGAAAAGATGTCAAATAAATAAAACAAACTCTATAAGGAACCCAAAATTGCTTTTTGACAGCTTCCTGTTCTTATTTCAACATATCTTTCCTTTATTTTTGAACAAATCACATGTGTCAAACTGAAGGGTTGTGGACCAAATGTGGCCCATCACAGCATTTCATGTGGCCTGAGAGCTTCAAAGATGCATTAATGTGTTCAAATGAGTGGATGCTTCTTTAAAACCAGTATTAACCATAAACTACAACTCCCACGATGCATGTTGCACCAGAAGAAGTGTTTGGAAGACAACGATCAATGATTTATTATTTGATTAGGCATCATGTGACCTGTGCGTACTTCAAAAGGGGAACTTTTATACATTGAGCTAATGTTAAAGCAAACAATTGATTTCAATGAGCAGAACATGGCTCAATGCAAATAAACTTGTAACAAATGTAAATGGGAAACTTTAGCCCAGGGGTGGCCAATCCTGGTCTTCGAGGGCCGCAGCCCTGCAGGTTTTACTTTTTTCTGCTCAAACACCTGATTTGAATGAATGNGCGCGCGCGCGTGTGCGTGATAAACTTCTGTACATCATTCAGTTCCCAAGCGTGGGTGTGAAAACAGGACTGAAATGAAAGCCACAAAGACACAGCATTCTTCTCACCCTCTGACTTTCATGTCAGAGATTTAAACCAAGACCTTTGAATGAAATAAGTTGTGCTGAGAAAAGAAAATCGCATAACGCACAATTTTATGCAACATTGTGAAATATCACACACAGAGCACATACCATCACTTCAAATTTTAGCCCAAAGCTGACCTAATATTAGACATTTTTATTTGGATGAATGTCTGTAGAGACCATCTTGAACTGGATTGGCTTCAAAGGTCAGTAGATGCTAGGCCAAAGGATGTATCCTAAAAATATGATTATATTTGTTGTGGTGTCCAGCAGATCAGACATGTTGTTCCTCTACACCTCCATGTCTCCTAGACTTTGTTTCAGCACTTGATCCTTTGTTTTAATGACTCCTGTCCAAGAAGCTATATGTGTCCGTGTCCTCACACTGAGTCCCTGAAGACCTTTTTAGGAGCACTATTTTTAAAGAGGGCATCTGTTTTTTTATTTGTCCATCTATCTTTGTTAAAATAATAAGATTCCTGTAACATGAGAGTCGCTGCAGTCCCTGCGTTCCACAGGGTGATGACAAATATCAGCTTTTACACTTTACCTCTCACTGCTAATTAACCCTTTCACTGCTTGGTTAGAGGTGAAGCTGTCCTCCAAGAGGTAGACGTATGACATCTGTTGATTTAAAGCCTTACTTACATTTTCACTTAACTGGTTCAGCCATAGCACTCTGTTTATCCTTTATAAATTGGATTTTAAAAGTTGCATTTAATGTTGCAAATGCTAATAAGTTGATGTAACTTAATCCAAATAATAAAAACAAATGCTCAGAGTATTATTTTTATGCTCCAGAGAGGGGGATCCGTGCAGCCTCCTGCCTGAGCAGCTGCTGTTTTGCAGAGTGATGAAGCCCGGTGGAGGCTTCCTGCTGGCCAGCAGCTCAGCTCGGCTCATGAGACTGCTGAGGACAGGTGAGGGCTCAATTACACAACTAACTTAGTTATAAATGTGCTGGCACACCAGGGTGAACAAATGCGCGCAAGAAGAAAGACACGAGCTGGCACACACTCCTAATAAATGCACAAAGGGCTCACAAAGTCATTGGAGGAGCTGAGGAGGAATTTGCACGCAGGATCTGAGGCAGAGGGGCCTCACCAAGGGAGGACACARACCTCCTGAAATGACAGACAGGATCAAATCAACAGCTCTGATTGCATCTAATCATATAAGATCTGGCTATGTTTGTTGAAAGTGAATAATTAATTTTTTAATTTTTAATTTAAATTTTTTATTCATTTCATTAAAACATACAACAAATAATATACACTC